GCTGTATATACAGATGACGATGGCGGTGTATTATTGGGGTGATTTAGAGTTACAAATACTGTATTATCTGCAACCATAACAAAAGATTTCATTATAATGATTCCCTCTTTTGCAGGCTTCGGCTTATGAGAAAGACACTTCAATCATCCCTGCCCGCTGCTTCACAGCAAATGCATTTTAAAAATACTCAGAGCTACGCACCTCACGCAAAAAAAATTATATCAGAAATGAAGCGATGATTAGAATAACGCAAACTTATTGTTATTATGAAGGTGAAATTTGCAGCGAATTACCGCTTTGAGGGTGGTCGATCGGCAAAGTTGCGGTATCACCCGACCTGATAAGCCAATGTGGCGTAGCGTTCACGGGTGTGAAAGGCACTCCATGAAATAATTAACAGAAATACAATGAACTGCTCTGTAACACAACGTGGCTATTTGGGCTTCCTAACTATGCGCGAAATTCTCGCGGCCATGTCTAGACAAAAACATCAAATCAGTTGCTAGGTGATGGGCTTGTCTTTCACAAACGAAATCGTAATCACAATATTCCCTGATTTGTATGCTACGGCTACAACTTCCTGGCAATTGTAGCATTGTGAAACCACAATAGTCCCATGGGAACGAATATAGTTAACGCTATAACATATATAACATATAAATTTTGCACTTATTTCATGCTTTTTTGTTGCTGTTCCAACAAAGACTGGGGTGTGTTTCGCGTGCCTCCTTTCAATGAAGAATGTGTTTGCTTCAATTTGTTAGATGGTATTCTGTCGACTGTTATATCAATGCAAATGAAGTAATGAGTTCAAGTCTTAGGCAACTTTGTTCTTAAAAAAAACATAGTTGAGTGAATGTATAATATAAATGTCAATCATTTTAACATCGCCTTTGGTCGCTTGCCTAACGGCCCTCGTATAATAAGCAAAAAAATTGATAAAACAAGAAAACTTAGCTAGTTCAATCTCGAAAATTGACTCACGTACTATCGACATTAAAATGAGATGTAAAACTTTGTTTCCACGAGCTTGATGTATCATATTGTCACGCAGCAAAGGACGACGCAGTTGTCCATAAGGAAAACAAGTTTATTGGAGCGAACTTGTGCTCCCCTAACAACTGAAAGAATACACAGGCAGCGAAGCAGCGGTCGGCAAAACGACGTGCACGCTAGTGAGCGTCGGCGATCGAATGTCGCGGCATCGGCTGTGCGGGAATTTATTTTTCTCGGCACGAGGGTTTCTCGAATAGTCGAATTGTACGAGAACGCTGTGATAGCGTTTGTTCGAAACGCTGTTTGTTCGAAACGCTCAAAACGTTGTTCGATAGCGTTTGTTCGAAACGGTGTGATAGCGTTTGTTCGAAACGCTGTGAAAACAGTGATAGCACAGGCCGGCGCAGCCAGGCCGAAAAAACAAAACACAAATAAACAAACCCAATGCATGGTTCGCGGCAATATATATAGTGGTAGCTTCAAGATTCTGTTCTAATTGAGATTGTCTGCTCTAATTGAGATTTGACTGAAAAATGCAAGTGTACATTAACTTGCCAATGACTTAGGAATGTTGCAGTTTATCGATGAATTGAAATGTGCGTGTGATAAAGGGGCATTACAGCTATTAGATGTAAACGGCTGCTGTTTTCAGTTCACAGCTGCCATCTGAAGGAATGCTCATGTCTTGAGTGTTCATAAGAAGTGTTCGTGACCAAAACGACTTTTTTGTTTTCATTATTACAAGCAAATGTCACCTGAAAAGTATATTCAAATGTCAGCAGTGCTCAGACTGCCTAATGTTAGAGAATAAAAAAATATAAAGAAAGAAGAGAGTAACAATGCCTTGATGAGTCGTATATGCGTTCCTTGAGTGTTGTATAACAGTCCGACTGTTGAATAACACTGATGACAGTCCGTCCGACGCGGTGGAAGAAATCATCCCCCCATTCATTTACTGAGTGCATCAAAATGACCGTAAAAGTATAGTCAGGAAGGGAGTGGACTACAATCAACCGACAGCCTCAATACTTATGTGTTAAACAAGTATATATTTATCGTAGATGTCCACCCACATAAGTGACGTCATAAACAGTACAAAAGAAGGCCCAAGTGGTGGCTGCGATAAACACGGTTGATGTGGCTGGGCAGAGAAAGACGTTTGAGTGGGTGTGTTGGCTTTTTGCATGCCTTCCGTTTATATGTATGCCTTATTTACCATATATTCATACTTAAGAAAAACGAAAAACGCTTGTTGACATTGTCAAGTGTAGAATGTATGAATATGTCAGAATGAGCAAGCGGTGTTTGTGTTCGTACGAATGCTTCCGAAATTTCAGCAGTATGCCTCCATACGGTCACGCATGCTGTACCACGCAGGACCAGTTCTGTGCATCGACACAGAAGCTGTAACAGTATTATTTACAACGGAGTGGTGCACACTTGTTATGGAACGGCTATTAGACTCTGTCGGTGAAAATGTCCTTCGTAAATGACGCTGTGTTTTTACAGAGTATGTGATTGTGTTATAAGGCAACGTGACGCGTAACGTTGAGCGCGAATACGGCTATCATTCGGGCAGACGGGGGTCTTGAAAGGCCAGTTTGTACATGATACTGCGAGTGAACAGCGTGAAACGGGCCCGAGATTCAGAAACAGACAGCACAATCGCTGAACGAGCAAGTGTGCTCAATTTTATTGTGACAAAAATTATATCGCTAAAATAAAAACCAAAAAGAAGGCAAAAAATCAGCTGTCACGTGGTCACAGCGATGAAATGCATGTTCGGCACGAGTCAAGGTATTAAAAGTAACTCGACAAAACATTCGACAAATTCCAGCACCATTGGAAACGATGTTAAGAGAAGCTTGCGGAAGGAAGGTGACGATGCTGGTTTTTTTTTTATTGAGCGAAATGTTACGCGACTGTTGAATAAATCTGCAAATGTTGTACGCACAGACATATCTGGAACAGTCGCATGTTTTATATAATCAATTTCAAGTTGCATAACGACGCCAACAGCAACAAGGGTATTACGAACACCAGAAGTGATCTGTAGCGCTGGTGTTTGTGAGGATGGCAACCCTGGGCAACGCTATGTATAGACCAACTTCAAACGATGACGATTGAGCATACAATCGACGTTAACTCCGCGCGACGCTTGTATCATAGTGTACATCAGTAACGTTCATATAAGTACCTAAAACTGTCATCCCAGTAGACGTTTCTTCAACATTACGCCTGCATAGCGTCTTTTTTCAAAGCAGTTTCGAAACCTGGCGTAGTTTTGTGGGAGAATACTTGATTTTCACACAAAATTTTTCGATCTGATTATTGCTTGGATACCGAAATTGATTCTTTGCACTGGTCGAGTCAACGTGGCCGATGAATAGATGGCAATGTCAATTTTCACTAAAGTTCTCGAATTTAAATTAACAATGTCTGCTCTAACTGTTCCTGGGTTGATATAAACTGTCAATCACTTGTGGCACATATTTACGTACCCTAACCCATGGAATAGAATAATTTACGAACGGTTTGAGTGCCGCCATATTGGGCTTTTAACCTTTGTGTTGCGCATTTCTAACAACTGGCCGAACAGTGTTAGTGCAGAGGCAAACGCATGAAATGGTTTGGTTTGTGCTTGCGATGTTTCATGGCCCTACACATTAACGTCGTGATATTCAAGAACGAGAAAACATCAGCTTGACAGCCCTAAATTAGTGGCTCTGGAAAAGTGTTTGATGGCATACGCGGAGGAATTTTTGCGTTATTCATGCAATGACCCACAAGAAATATTCATGAAACTCTCTTACCTTCCATACTTATTTTCGTCTAGCCCAAGTTAAGGAGGCGAGCACGAGAGCACCCAAACGTAAGATAATAGATAGATAGATAGATAGATAGATAGATAGATAGATAGATAGATAGATAGATAGATAGATAGATAGATAGATCCGCTCAGAGTGCCTGCAGTTCACTAAGAAATGCTTCGCAGCCACAAGAACGCCAAGGTGCTGCTTGTTGACGGTTTGATGTTGCATGCATATTCTCGAAAACGGTTGTTCAAGGAGTTCCTGGTTTGTTTCGTGTAAGATGTCGTATACGATGTTAACTGTGCATTCAACCTATTGTGTCCCATGTTTTTTGGCACGAGTGCATTTTTAAAGTTTTTCGCGAGCCTTCAGTCATGCTTGAAAAAAGTGAGATAGCGCTTTTGTGAAGTTGTGATGAGTGAACTGGTGTCGAACATGCATTTCATCGCTCTGACCAGGGGACAGTTCAGGTTTTGTTTTTGCTTGTTTTAGTTCTTATTTTCGGCATATATCTTCCATCGCAATAAACTTGCCCATCATTGTTCTTTCAGCGCTTGTGTTGTCTGTTTGTTTGTCCTATCCCGTTTTCGCGCTGTTCACTCGCAGCATCCTGCGCACTTCGCGCGTCGTCCTTCTGTTATACGGCTTCGAAATGCTGTGGATCAAAACAGCAATTTCTCGGTGGCAAACACAAAAAAAATCCCTTGATGCCGTCACTTTTTTCACTTTTCAATTGCTTATGAGGCGTGTCTCGAAAGACAACAAAAATGACGCGGAAAACAGAATGCGAATACTGTCATGAAACGTTTCCGGCTTGCTACTCCCGTGTGCATACACCAGTACTTTTCCTCGGTCCTGGATTTGGCCTGCCGACGTGTCTGCTTACTCTTTTTGTCATTTCCATATCATTTTTTCAGAGAAACTTCCTGTTGTAAGGGGGTGTAAGCGTCTTGCGATCCTTTCGCAGGATGAGCTAACGTCTTGCCGAAAAAGAAAAACAAAAACAAAACTGTAAAGAACTTATAGGGCACATATTTATTTTGGTGTTTGGACGTCAGGTGCTTTAAAGTATTTCGGACTTGAGTTCTAAAGCCTGCTTAAATCTCGTCTTCCTTAGTGTCTTCAATCCGTGTCACCTTCCTGAACTACCATCCATGTGTATTAGACTTCCTTGTAACGGGATCTGCTTAACAGCCGTAGCCGATGCCCGACAGCATGTCCGTTGCACGCCGCTTCAGAATGGAAGGCTTCACGCTGACGCGGAACGAAGGAGTTTGACTCATGAAATGTGCTCAATTCATGCTGATCGTAACAAGGTGCGTTGCACAATGGTGATTTCGTATAGTATACCGGCGAATAATAAGGATCAAGAGCTGGCAGTGGGTCGAGCAAGTTAGAAATTGAGAGTTTCCGTTGTTCCCACTGTCGTCCTGATTGTAATTGGTTGCATGGTCTGCAGTTAGGCGTAAAAAGCACCCACGGATATGCGAATCTGCGTAGAAAACGTGCACGCTGAAATTTTTGTTTCCAATGAACATTTTTTTGGCTGTGTTGTTTTGGTTTCCTTTCACTGTCTGTTAAGGCCAGGTTTGCGTGAGTGCGTGTTGGTGAGTGCCGGTTTCATCTCTTGGATGGCTCCTGCTTGCAGCACACAAACAGATGCCTATCTGGTTATAATTTTTTGGGAGTGATCGACCACTTGTTACCCTCTCATGTATTTTCCATAGATGTGCTGCCAGAAAGTTTTGCCCATGTTGCGTGCTGAGAACTGTAGTAACACTGCCTGCGGGTTTTTCTTTTAAAGACGGTGGTCTTTCTCGGTGTACTTCGACGCGAAAATTTCGTTCTGTCTGTTTGTCCGCGGAAACGATATCCCAAACGGTTCTCAAAACGGCTAACCCCATCCGCAGCGCCCACCAATATTTCTCAAGTTCCAGAGTTCATTCTTGGGTGACCGTCAATTCAAAAGCAATTATTGCGCATATCTGAGGCACCATTACAACACGTCAATATTCTGTGTGTGGGGCCTTATACTAGAAAACGCATACATAAGTAATTCTAAGGACCGTAGCGTTTATCACGCTGTGCTGAGAATGCTATGCACCAAAAAGCAAGTGTTTCCAACGCTTTGCCAAGACGACAGACACTGTGGTGGCACCTGCCCGTCGCTTTGCGTTCTACACCTTATCGCCTCCGAGACAGGTGCACTCGCTTTCCTTCGTTTCCGAAGTTAACTGACAGATAGAGTTTGTGTCTAACGTCCCTCAATACGCTCGTTTGCCTTCGCTGAACGAATAGAAACTTTTTAACACAGCGCCTTTAGAATAAATTTACTAATTTTCTCACACAGAGCATCAAATAAACGTTTTGTTCACTCTCTCTAGATGTAAGACTATCGTCTTTCCACGACATTTGCAGTAAAACACGTGGGTACAGGGGCAATTTTTTCCTTAAATATTTTATACATTGTAAAGTATCACGATAATTCATTGGCTCTTGGTGGCCTAGGTGGCGATAATATCAAGATAGGAGGACTTATTTTGAATGGGGAGGCAGACAGTGCACCTGGTGTTGCGCAGTGCGGGCCCATGCTGGAGCCTATCTTCGGAGCTGAATTGTGCGTGTGTGTTTTAATAAGTTCGTCTACAGATTGTACTGATGTTGCGAAATTTTCCCTAGAGTTTGCAAAGGTAATAAGCAAATTGACAGTTGAAGAACAACTAGTCGCGACAGTATAGTTTCGTTTTGCAAAATCGGACTAACGCTAACTACACTGTACACCTTTGTTTACCACAAATAACATGGTTTATAAGAAATGATGCACACATGCAAATAGTTGTTTGCATGTGTGCGTATATATTTACACATGCAAAATAAAAAAAAAACTAGTAAAGGAAGGGGGAGGTGTAGGCTTGAACTTACCAGCCTGCTCCAGTTTTTTACAGCATAGAAAGTGACGAAAACACTCTTTTTGCTATGGTGTATAGTCTTCGTTGATTGATATGTGTGCTTTAACGTACCAAATCTACCACATGATTATGAGAGATGCCATAATGGAGGGCTCCGGAAGTTTCGACCACCTGGGTTTTTTAACGTGCACCGAAATTTGAGCACACTGGCCTACAGCAGTTTTGCCTACATCTAAAAATGCAGCCACCGCAGCCGCGATTTGATCCTGTGACCGGCGGGTAAACAGTCGAGTACCTTAGCCACTAGACCGCCACGTCGGGAATATTTGGACTTCATACTGCCAATATTCTACAATACATTATGATCTTGTGGAAACAGATGCCTGATATTGATGACATCACGTCCTCATCGTTCAGCCAATGTTTGAAATAGTGGCATTTTCTAGGTCAGCGACAAACATTTTTCATCATAAAGAGAAAAATGCAGGTTGTTCTATATACCCAAGGCCTCCTTTATTACAATGCCAGTGCAAACGCACGCTTATCAACGAAAGCCGTCGGTCCGCCTTAGTTTAGGAAGTGGTAGTGTTGCGACGCTACATTATGAGTAACGCTGCTGGCACAAAACGTGCTTCTGAGCGCTTTCTACCGGAGATGCGATAGGCGAGGTTCTCTTTCCAATATCATACGTCTGTCATACTTGTTTCTTCGTGGTTCTTCTTTGTGGTTCGAAGTAACGCTGCCACTGCATGCATGACAGCGCGGCGCATGCAAAAGCGTTGCAGTGACGCTTTCCTATTGGTTGCCCGCATAGCGCCACGAACGGCGACACGCTGTCTTAAAACACCGTATCTTTTACAGTGACAGCATGATGACCACCATCATTGTGAACATGAGGAATGCAGAAGGCTTGCTCACGGATCTGTACAGAATTGAACAAAAAATTGCTTCATTCGCTTACTCTGTTGAGGCACCACATCTAGGTTTCTCTCCCACATGACCACAAAGCACGCGTGGAGACTACAGGCGATGGGCGAGATCAAGAAAGAGCTAGATGATAGGGTGGTGAACGCTGGATTGGGTGCATTTGGCAGGCATTGTAGAAATAGAAAAGGCATTGCTGTACTATTCCTCCTCTCCCCGTGCGTATCGCAGGTAGTCCATTCGGAACGTGGTAAAACATCGAATATAACTGATCGCTTTTGGCTCTGTAAATCTACGCACACCAGTCCTTCAATGCAAAGTTAATGAGAAACTCCAACACGCTCTGTGTTTTTCTATCAATAGTTTATCGTTTATTTTAACAATTAGTCGTAAAACTAGTCAATTATTTTTGAGTAGAGTAATTTAGTTTTGTCAATAAACACACCCACACTTCCTTGAGACTACATTAAAATGATTAATTGGTTGCGACAACATATTGGGAATAGGGAGGGAACGGTAAAAAAATAGGGTTGGTACAAATGTGCTGCAACACCCGTAGGACATTATATCACGGGAGCAAGACAGCAAAATGGACACGTACTCAGTGCGCGGAAAGATTAGAGCATATTCTCGTATTTGCGAGTACTCGCAAATCCTAGAAAAGTATCGTTTCACGTGAATCCTCTGTGGCGTAACATAAAAACTCTCCTTCCAAATAGGCTTTCTGAACTCTTTTAATGCGACATGCTTGTATGATGCAATTGCTTGTATTATTTTGTCGAGGTGGAACCAAGAGTGCAGCGACAGGAACAGAGGCATAGATTACTTTAGGGGAGAGTGGTCCGACTCAGTTTTGTGCATGTTCGTGCGTGTTATTGTTGCAAAATATAAACGTTTCGGAGGAGGGGGTCGCAACTACTAAACCTCTCCCTGTCGGTGCCAATGAAAGGGACGCAGTAAACTCGACAGGCACAGCACTGAGTATGTCGTCCTTAGGCTCTGTCTTTGCGATATTTGTTCAGCTTCATGACTGACCAATAAGATTAGGTATGTGGTATCCAGTGTACTCTTGTTGCCTGATACTTATAATTCGGAGTCACACCTGTTTGCGAAGAAGGTAATGTGACGTGTATGAATATTTCAAATAATCATTACGTTAATGAATACTCATAGTTACGAATCCTTAGTTTTATCCTCTGCGTTTATCACTTCCACAGCGCAGCAGAGACTGTTGTAGATCTGTGCACCGACATGATGGGGCTCACTCAATCACTCACTCCCTCACTCACTCACTCACTCACTCACTCAATCAGTAAATAATAAACCAATTAATCAATCACTCAACCTTTACAAAATAGAATACTGGAAAAAATGTGCGATGCCGACTACTTGGGCAACCATCATGCTTGTCGTACCACATTCAGTCCAGTTGAACGCTAGCTTATCGCAAGTGCGCTTTTCTCACGGTGGTGAATGCCTAGCTTTTTTAACACGAAAGTGTTTTACGCCTGGGTCCACCACGGCTACGCTGAGGTATTGCCGTCATGGATATGACGTCGTAAAATATATACTGATTGCCATGAAAAAAACACGAGAAGCAAAAGTTTCGCCGCGAGGTATCGAAACAGCAACCTAGTGCTCCTCAGCGTGCGACGTTATCCACTCGGCCACGCAACAAACCTACTCTAACCTGATAACAACGAACTTTTTGTATACAGCATGTACTACTGGCAGTTCTCAAAGCTCGGTAGTTTCAGCGTGTTTTCTTCATCAGTCGCGAGATGGCACGACGGGCGCGCTTTATGCACATGCGCTCAAAGTTGTGCCACCCCGCATCTTGCCATATTCGCGAGCATCTCCGCATGGTGTGATCAAAGTTCATATATATAGGTTAGGTGTTTGTTAGCGTGGTGGCTCACTCGTGTGCGCTCTGATCTCAGGATTCCGGCGCTTTGTACCTCTTGTGCTTTCACGGTAAGTTGCTTTGAAGCTACAGTAGTTCATAAGACCACGAACATCACTTCGCTTCCTGTGGTGGCCGCGTTTAGGAAAGAAGAGCGCTGCCCACTGACAAAAAAGTAACAATTCTTACAAATGTTCGCACTTGTCCTTTGTATACATCTACGCTGATTTCATGCGTCTTTCTTTCTGCTCGTCAAGCGTGCTGTAAGTGTCGATTTGTGACAGTTGATTGTACGTGCTCGTCCAGTGTATGCTCATTTCGTGCCTGCTCTCTGCTTCAGATGTGTGCTGACAGTTTCAAGCCGCTTGTCGTTAATTGATTGATTGATATGTGAGATTTAACGTCCCAAAACCACCATATGATTATGAGAGACGCCGTAGTGGAGGACTCCGGAAATTTCGACCACCGGGGGTTCTTTAACGTCCACCCAAATCTGAGCACACGGGCCAACAACATTTCCGCCCCCATCGGAAATGCAGCCGCCGCCGCCGGGATTCAATCCCACAACCTGCGGGTCAGC